CGGCACGGGCGAGGAGGGAGCGGCGCGGTGCGGCCCCGCGGTCACTCGGCGTGCTGGGGAGGCCGGGGAGGGCTCCCAGCTCTGCAGCCTTGGAATGCTGAAGCTAGTTTCACTTTTACGAGGGGATATAGATATCGCTGTGGCTGAGCCTGAGCACACACAGGAGGGAGGCATGCAGACGAACTTGTGGCCTGCCAGAGGTCACCCGAGCGTTTGCTCCCTGCCCGGCCAGCCGCGATCCCAGTGCAGGGCAGTGCCCTCCCGCTGGAAGGCGTCACTGCTCTCCTTGGGCAAGCCCTCCATGGGAGGGGAATTTGCTTCACTGCAGGCTTGGGTATGAGATGCAGTGTTTTAGTTCAAACTGCTCTCATCATTTTGTTTTAGTGTCCAGAGATAGCGACATGGTGTGACAAGGCTTCCTGTATTTTGAGATCATTATGCTCTTTTGAGAACCCTTTTAGCATGCTGAAGAGAAGTGTCACAAAATACCTCCAACTTCAGTTCATTAACCTTTGCTGGTGGTCAAATGTAGCCATGGTAGGAAGACCATACCTGGAGCTGTTGTAGATGGCTGAGCGCTTCCCTTCACGCTGTCCTTTGTGCGCTGGAGCCTCTGTTTCAGCAAGCCTGGAGTTAAACAGGACCTCTGAAGTCTTTAGGTGTATAGAGATTTTACAAGTTTGAGGCATGAGGACAAACAGGATTTTCCAAATGATTCAGATATAGAGATTCATGTATTATCAGTTAAAATTGTGTTGGAAACAAAGTTCACATTCTTGAAGCCTTTCTCTTGAGATCCACATCTTTTAATTGTGTGAGTATCTGAAGACTTTAGCTACTGAATACTTGGTGCTGGCCCTGGCAGTGTCTCTGCAGAAATAAGCAGCGGCATGTAGGCTTCACTGGGAGCAAAAAAGATGAGATAGAAAATAAAGGGGGATTCCTCTGCAGTGGGCATCTGTTCTAGTGAAGTTTTGCAGAAAATTCATATTAGGTTGAAAACCTGTTGTTTCTAATCACACATATGGTTACTGCTACTCAGTAGTTAAGGTCTTGACTTTATCTTCTGGTTTTGGCGCGTGTAAGAATTAGTTATGAAAAAATACTTAGTGCTGGGCTTTCACTTTAAATCAACTGCTTGCCATCCAGCCTGTGTTCCGTTTGCTTTCTGTGTGTTTGTTACTTCTGGCTGTTTTTGATGCAAGTTGTGATGATCTTTGAATGATTTATGGTGGGAAATAAATTGGAAAATTCAAGTTTCCAGAATTCTTCTTAAACTTTGTAATTAAAAACTAGCTGCATAGAACAGATCAAAAGCCTTATTTTACAGTAATCAAAACAACTATTAAAATTGAAAATTTGTCTCTAAGGATACCTCATCAGACCAAGATGCAACAAAATTCACTCAAATTGAATTCATGTCTCACAAAAGTATGAAGAGTATGAAGTATCTGGTTTGTGTTTTACAGCAGATGCTAAAGGAGACCAGAACTTTTACACAGACAATGTCTGAAGTGTATATGTACTTGTGTTGTTTTATTACTTTGTCTTTGCTGCCATCAGGCTTTACCATGCTCCGAGCCTTTAGTCACACAAATGGTAGGTGTGTGTTCCACCACGCTAAGTGTTGGCATCATCGTAAGTCTGTGCTGGCAATCAGGAGGGAAGATGTCAATGCTTGGGAAAGAAGAGCACCTCTAGCACCAAAGCATGTTAAGGAGTTGACAAAGATGGGATACAAGGTCTTGGTGCAGCCGTCAAACCGGAGAGCCATCCATGAAAAGGTAAGGTCCTGTTCTGAGAGACACAAGCAAAATCATAGTGCAGTTGTTAACCATGGTACAGGGAAAATAATATTCAAAGGCCATTCATGAGAAAACATATAAACCCCCCTAAAACATGTACATTTTGTTGCTAAATGAGGAGTCATGTGCTAGAGGAAAGGAAAAGGAGTAATTTGTTTAGCCTTTAGTATTGGCACCGTGGTGGGTTTTTGGAGGTTTTTTTATTAATTTTGTGTCCTCTCATCACTCTCCCTATGAGTTATAGGTTCTCATGAAGAAGCTTGGGAATTCCTTTAACATTGGTCTTTTTGTCTTCTGTTTGTGAGAATGCAGGAGCTCTAAAAAGCCCTGTTAAAAGAACAGGAAAGATGAATCTGGTGAATTCCACTCTTGTATCAGTCCTATTCCTCATGTGAAATGAGGAGACAGTTTTTTTCTTTAATGCTGTGAGCTTCAGGACAGAGAGCTTTTACAGCTTTTGTAGCAGCAGTAATACTCTGTTGTAAGATAACTGAGAAAACAGATGGAAAGTGAAACAAAAGCAGGGAATAAGTGATTCCTAGTGCACATACCACTTTTTAATTTAATTTAATTTTAATGATTTTTTTTCATCAAAGCACAGATCATATTATGTAAACACATTTCCTTAGAAATTGCTCTTCAGCTTGGACTTGAGCTTATACAATTTTATAAAATCACATGTCATCAGACTTCATATTTTTTAATTTTTCATATTTCTCTAAACTTATTTCTAAGTATTTGAGCACCTTACAAAGGGCTGTTCATTATTGCAATACCACAGGATACTTTAAATTTAGTAAAATATCCTTTTTTGTAGTCTGTAAATTTAAGATGCAGTACTTTACTAACACATAATTATAATTTGGCCTCATATAATAGGATAATAGCATAGTTATTCAATTTGATACTTGATACCTCTTTATCAAAGAATTATGTGAATGTATCACATGCAGTAACTTGTTTCTGCTTGGTAGAATTATTTATTTTTCCTCTGTTCTTGCTGCTAATATGCTGAGATCTGAATAAGAAAAAAACAGAAAAATTTTCTTTGATTTTTCTCTTTCATAGGAGTATGTCAAAGCAGGTGCCATTATTCAAGAAGATATTTCTGAGGCTTCTCTGATAATTGGTGTGAAGAGACCTCCAGAGGACAAATTAATCCCTAAAAAGAACTATGCCTTCTTCTCTCACACTATTAAAGCCCAAGAGGCAAACATGCCACTTTTGGATGAGATTTTAAGACAGGTAAATTATGTCATATTGAAGACCATTGTCAGATAACATGGGGTGAACTTAACGCTTAAGTGTGATGAAAAGCTTGTTGCCTAGTATGGTTCCTTCCACCAGACGTACTTGTAGATGGCTAACGAGTTTTCAGTATCCTTTCCTGAAACTGAGTATTTCTTGCTCTCAGAGGATCTTGTATTTGCAGTGTTACTCTCTTCATGTGCACAAGGCAGGTAAGCTGTGAGCATGGTGTGCTCAAGAGAGGCTCTTTCTCTCTGAGTGAGAAGAGTAATTGGAAGGTTACTCAGCTGGAGTGCATATTGGCCGTTTCAGAGCAAGGCAGCCAGTTTGTGCTGAAATGAGCAGCCTCTTGGCAGAGGATGTGAATGGGCTTGCAGCAGCTAGAGTGGCACATTGGGGAGCTCTGTGCAAAGAGGGCATGGGCAGTGCAGAGACTCTTTCAAGCAATTCACTGCAACCGTTACATTTTTATTTTTATACTTAAATCTTATTACAATATATTTTTATATTACCCATCAGACTGTATCATGAAGAATGACAAAGTCATGTGAAAATGTAGTTCCTGGGAGAGCAGCGTGCCACAGACTGCATTTACTGAAAATTTTAATACTCAGTTTGCTGTGTATTTTCAGGAAATTCGACTGTTTGACTATGAAAAAATGGTTGATCATAAAGGAATGCGAGTTGTGGCCTTTGGAAAGTGGGCTGGTGTAGCAGGTATAGTGTATAAAGTGAAGGCAGGCTTGCAACAAGTGACCTCCTGTAAAACTTCTGGTTGTCTGTGCTTCCTGAAAGCTGAGGCTTGCGAGTTGTTTTTAACTGCATTTTAAATTCTTGCTTTTAACAGCCTTTCCCCATTCTGGTTTGTGCCTCCTGCTTTCATGAGACAACATGTCAAATTGGCATGTAGATTCCTGACAAATCTAATATTTTATGTTATTGTCTTGAAGTCCTGTTTGTGCATTGGACTATCTGGAGCAGACTAAGTATCAAGAGATCAACTGATTAGGCTTTTTTATAAAAAAAAAAAAGGCTGCTGTCAGTCCCGAGAACTTGAACAACATCTGTTTGTCACTGCTATGCATTTAATCTGATTTTTGTGTGGCATGGTTCTGATTTCTTTCTACTGAACTTTAACGCTGTTTCTTCAGGAGTCTCTTTTATTTCCTTCTTTGGGATCCAGTGATGTGGATACACCTCATAAAAGGATATCTGGATATTAAATTGTGCCTAAATGCATAAGGGGCCAAGAGCAAGTTTAAGGTCACAAACTGCTGTTAAATTTCTCTTTCTCTGGTTTTATGTAGACTTTCTTTAGAAGTAAAGTATTAATATAAAAACATAGGAAAAATATTTGGGATAATTTGAGGCTTCAGTCAGTCTCTGCAGTTTCTAACTGTGCATATTTGTAATTTAGACTGGTGGTTCAGTTTTCTGTTTTTTTAACAACAGGAATGATCAACATTCTACATGGATTGGGTTTACGGTTTTTAGCTCTGGGTCATCACACTCCTTTCATGGTAAGAGTACGTGTATATATATTTTTCTTTAGCTAAATAACATTTTGGCATCTGCTAATTATCTGTATTTGACTATGGAAAATATCTTGATGGTTCTGTGTCTTTGATTTCAGCACATTGGGATGGCACATAACTACAGGAATAGCAGTCAGGCTGTGCAGGCAGTACGGGATGCCGGGTATGAAATTTCACTGGGACTGATGCCAAAGTCCGTGGGGCCCTTAACATTTGTGTTTACAGGCACTGGTAATGTTTCTAAGGTAAGAATAGTCTTCAAGGTGAAATACTATATTATTGTTAATAGAAATTCTTAGCATTTGGTCTCTATCAGGTTAAGTGGGTTGGTGGGTTCATTTTGTTTTCTTGGACTTCACATTTTCCTTTGCCAGTAACAATTTTTAAGTAGTATATACGGAAATGTTTAATATGAGATCATGCCTAACCAGGCTGACATGCTGACTTCGTATCAATGAACATGGATTAAATCTTACCGCTCCTCTCTTCCAATCTGCATGATTTCTATCTCCCCCTCTCCCCACTGTTTACTCTGTGCTCACAAGGTAGATGAATCACTCCATTAAAGTATGGGGAAATGAATTATCTTTTTCCAGCACCAGCTGAGTTTTTATGTCTGGATATCATTGACTTGGCTTACAAGTAGTTGACTTCAGGGCTATTTTAGCCCTAATGACATAGGGAAGAGACTTCCCCCTGGTTTTGGCAACAAAGATCAGTTAACAAGGCTCCAGCTATACAGTGAAATCTCTGCCTGCATAGATGTGTTCTTTCTAGCCAAAAGGATGGTGTGTCTGAAAATCATTTGGTTGTGATCACAGTTCATTGGGGAAGACATCTTGTAGTTCCTGGCGTTTAGAACAGCCTGGTTGATGAGGAGTGGCTTCAGGGATCTTTCCTAAAGAGAAGCTGCTTCTCAGAGTGGCAGCAAAATCCTCTTGTGGCTGAGTTGAGGCCTCCCAGTTCAGCTATTACAAATAAGAACCAGGCATTGGATTGTGGTTTAGGCATTCTGCAGTAGTGAGGAATGATGTCAATTCCTTGCCCATAATGCACAGGCAGCTTAATTTTGGGTAAGCAGGGGTGTCGCCCTGAAAACTCAGCTTTGGAGCTTGCTGACATAGTTTCTAAAGAACTTTCCCAGGACAGTAACTATGAACATGGATATGTATGCATTCCTTCTGTTACATGCCTTGTGATGGACATCTCTCATGGCCAGTGCAGTGAGAAAGTGTTATCCTGACCATCCAATTCCTGGCCATGGTCAGAAGCCTATAAATCCTGGGAGAAGAAATAAACTTTCTCTTCCTTTCACCTCACCTCAAGCTGTGTCCATGTGATCTATTCATTGCCAACAGAAACACAGGGGTACCTGTGAAACAATGTGTACATCTCTGGAGGTGTTTTCTGGCAGGGCTATCAAATTGTATGTGGCATTTTATATTTGTTTTCGAACACCAAATGAGTACTGTTACATTACATTTATGATCTACTTAATCTAAATCCTACTTCATGATTGCAGGGTGCTCAAGAACTGTTCAGTGCTCTCCCATGTGAGTTTGTGGAACCACATGAGTTAAAGGAAGTTTCCAGATCTGGAGGTATGCAGTGACAATAGTGATTAAAAACACTGAAACCGTTTTTGTCCAAGTATAAAAGCTATTTTTTTTTCTTTTTTTTAACTTCAGATCTCAGGAAAGTCTATGGAACAGTGTTAAGTCGTCACCATCATCTTGTAAGGAAACGTGATGGACAGTATGATCCAGTAGACTATGACAAACATCCAGAAAATTACATTTCTCGCTTTCACATTGATGTGAGAATCTCTTCTGTTTTTTTATGAAAGGTTTTCTACAATGTTTGTACTTAATACACTTTTGCATATTCATCATTTGAGAGAGCATTATGCTCGACCAGGTGCTTTCAGCTTCTTAAAGTACTAGGTGAAAACATCAGGCATCCGTAACTTCCTTTGCAGGTCGCACCCTACACAACTTGTTTAATTAATGGCATTTACTGGGAGCAAAATAGTCCTCGCTTGCTGAGTCGGCAGGACACTCAGAAGCTGCTGGTGCCAGTTAAATCTGCTGCTGGTGCAACGGATGGCTGTCCTGAATTACCACACAGGTAAGACAATCATTTCACTTGTAACAATTTTGCAGCACAATGATTAACTAACTCGTAATGTTAGGCAGTTTCACCACAATATCTAGTAAATTATTCTATTTATTTTGCATTGTTCCTCTTGCATGTTTTACAATGCCCCATTGATTTTGCTCTTGTACTTTTGTGCTTTGCATTCTTGTTTTCACAGTTTGGAGTTTTTGAAAAGATCACAGTAGAAATGATTAACAGGTATCAGCTGTCTTTCTGCAAAAGTAGTTCTGCCACTGATCTTCATACAGAATCCAATACAAACAAAAGTGTGATATCTGGGAATGTACCTTCTGCACCAGTATTGGTAGAAGTTTCTATATCTGAGCAGAGTTTTAGGAAAAGTTCTTCCTACCCTGTCATTTTGCTTGCACAAGTTCAATAAGTGTTCCTTAGCAGCTCTTATTTCTGCAGCAGGCAATAGAAATGCTTCACAACCCTGAATAGTTTTAAGGATAGAATGTGGGGTGCTAATGAAGGATTAGTCTCCTTTCTCTAATAGCCCTGCCATAGATCTGGGGAGGACACGAAAATATATCCTGGTGAAGAATCAGGTCTTTGTGTCTTCTCTGCCAGCTCTTGACACTTTCCTTTCTCTCACATGACAAATAAATAGTTGAAGAGTTAACCTTCAGTGGAGCCAGACGTTGTGCATTAGGCTAACAAATCCTCCACCTGTCCCTGCTATCTGTGAACTGGTAGGAGGCACGCGCTTCTTTAGGCTTCCTTTTAGGATGGGAAGTTAGTTTCATGCAGGATTGCACAGGCACAGCTTGAAGGAATTGATAGATGGAAAATGAATGGGAGGCATTGGCAGCACATGGCATAGAGAGGAAAGATCCTAGTGAATGGTTTCTGTCAGTCTTTCCATGAAATTGGATGCTGATGATTGGATATTGATATGAATGCAAACCTGATGACTACAATAGGGCCAAATTTCCATTATATTTCTGGATTCCACTGTTTGTGTTTTGTGGTCTTATAAATTGGTTGAGATGAAGAAGGCTGCAAGTCTCATAGAACTTCCCACATTTCTTTTATTTCCCGTTCACTTGTGACCTTTTATACCTGTGTTTCTTAGTAAATTGTATAACGCTCTATTCCACTGTCTTTTTATTTTAATTGCTTTAGACTTCTGGCCATATGCGACATTTCAGCAGATACTGGAGGATCTATAGAATTTATGACTGAGTGTACAACAATTGACAACCCATTTTGTATGTATGATGCTGACCAGCATATTACTCACGACAGGTGGGAGAGCCCTTACTTTTTATTGTTTTCCATTGTAGCTTGTAGAGTGAGACATTATATTGAAAAAATCATACATTTATAACACTTCTGAAAGGTGGTACCTTTCAGGAACTAAGAAGTAGTTTAGAAGAGCTGTTTTCTCTCTTTCAGTGTTGAAGGCTCGGGGATTCTGATGTGTTCCATTGACAATCTGCCAGCTCAGCTTCCTATAGAAGCAACAGAGTACTTTGGGGATATGCTTTTCCCTTATATTGAAGAGATGGTAAGATCTTATGTATCCGACAAGAAGGTAAAAGGCTCAGAATTTGGTCTGCTTATTTGTTGCTTTTCTGGTCTCCTGTATACATTCAAAAGGAATCTGCTGTAGAACATAACTGACTTTGTACTTGAAAAAAATAAAAAGGTTTTTGGAGTTTTGAGGCAATCCTTTGAAAAGAAAACATGTGAATGAGACATGAGTGACCTGAATGTCTTAGGGATTTGTCAAGAACACTTTCTGTAGGCAGAAAACAGGCTCTGGCAGGTAGTTCATTGCTTCTGGACCCTGCACTAGATGTAAACATCTGATTTTCTTGGGCACTCAACAATCCCTCACAGTCAGACTGCTGTCTGAATTCCTGTATTTTCCTAAAAGTCAAGTGACGCTAATTGCAGCCAGAAGTATTTCAAATGTACATGATGCTGGTATTGTTGCATGCATTTAAATGTTGCTTAAAATCTTAATGTTTTACTTTGAGAAATATTTGGTAATAAAATGACCTGATTTGAAATAACTTATCTCCATAGCTGTTATCAGAAGGCTCAGAACCTCTTGAAAAGCAGAATTACTCACCTGTTGTTCGAGATGTAAGTTTTGCAGTTTGGCACTCTTCTTGTCCTCCCCTGCTTTGAAACATACAGACTCATAAAGCCCTCAAATCTGTTTCATATGTTTCCAGGCAGTGATTGCATCCAATGGCTCACTGACACCTAAGTATCAATATATCCAGAAACTGAGAGAGAGCAGGTAATGTAGGCTCTTAAAGTTTATTTGATTCAGGATTTAAAAAGCCACCCTGTCTGCATTCTGTCTCTAAATGTCTCTAGGTAGATGACCTCCTTAATTCTTCACGCACGTTGCCTAAATCATTAACACGTGTTGTTAGTAACTTACATTGAAGTTGAGAAAGTTGTCATTTTTCTCTTTCTTGCATTATGAAAACTGTTTTACCAGAGGTAGGAAACAGCCACATGCTAGTATTGCTCTGTTACTCCTTGCCCTTTTGAAACAGATGTAACATACAGTCATTTGAAAGGAATGGCTGAAAGCAAAAGGCTCTTGAATATTCCTTGAATCGAGTTACTTCTTGTATGGCTCAAGTGCTGTGCAGTGTAGCATTGTTCTGTGACTGGATGCACTGAAGAGACTCTGAGACTTTTTGTTACATTCATGCATGTACAGATTCAACTACCACTTCATCCACACCCTGTCACAGCAGTTATGTGCCAGTGGTAGCTTAGGGTGAATTAAGCTAACAAAAGTATAAATAACCTGCACATCCCTTCCATTCCCCTTGCCCTCTTACTATTGACAAACATCTATAGTTTACAAATTAAGAATGTTAATTTCACAATAAGTGGGTTCATGGTCAGTGACAGCTACACTGTACATCTTATTAAAATTTAAATTGGTCTGACTCTAAGCAATGTACGCACTGAAAGCATGGTGTGTTGACTTCTGCATCTCAAACCTCTGCAATTTTCCTTGGGAACTTTGTGACTTCTGGTTATGAACTTGTGCATGATGGATTATAGGTGAATTTTCCACACTAGGTAATGTGCTATTTGCTTCTCAGAGGCTTCAGCTCATAGTGATTTTTGTTCTGTGCTCTTTGATAGATGGCATCAAGAGGCTGTGTCAATAACAAGTTTTTTTATTCCTCACACAGTATGATGATCTGATATTTTTTTAGATTCCTCCATAATCACTTGTATGGGCTTGTGTGAACTACCATGAGAATCTGGAGACTTCATTTCCAAGTGTGTTTTTTTTGGGTAGATTTTTGATATTTCTGCAGATCTGTGTGCTTCATGTGATGTTCATTTGTTCCTTGGTGTTATTCACTTAGCTATCAGAAAAGCAGGACCTGTTAACAGTACCCTCCTTTACTTTGTGAACTTCAGAGGTGATGCAAATGAAAGAAAGGTTTTACTGCTTAGGGTGTGATGGTTTAGATAGAGACACACTCTTTTTCAGACCCTGTAGGAAATACGTGGCTTTTTTCCACTCTAGAAAAGTATTATGCTGTGCTCAGTTTAGTTTCTGAGGGTTCTATTTATACTAATTGCTAATACTCCTTCAAGTCTGTGAACATTTCAGACATAGGACACCCAGACTGTATAAGCTGAACTGTCTTGAGTGCCATGAGATTTAGCAAAAAAACTTATCTTCATCTTTGTGCCTTTACTTGCTTCTTAAGTACTAATGGTTTTTCACTCACAGCTGCAAAAGCACATCACATTAACAATGTAGATTTTATTTGTAACTGAATTATTTAAACCCATTTGTAGAGAATAAGCTTAATCTGGAGCTGTGTAGATTCTTTTCTCATACTTGATGGTTCATTCGGCAGCTCATGGTTTTGCCTGTCCTAGAGTAAACATGCTGTGTTTAAATGTGACTTCATTCTAGGCACTAGAAAAGTTTCTAGTAAATATGACAAGCTGGATTGCAAAATCTAGCTTGCTTTCAGATAAGAATTTCCCCTTCATCAACACTCTAAGCTACCTACCACTTCTGTGCCCTAAAGAATGAAGAGGAGTTCTTCTCTTCCTCTGCCCATAAGAGTACAGTTGTGGAAGATGTTCTGATAGCAGGAGGAGGAGGAGGAGGAGGAAAGTCCTTGGGTTTGCAATATAAAAGGGTATGATGGGCTTAGGAGACTTTCTGTGAATGTATTAAATCATGATTTAACTTTTTTTTTTAAAAAAATCAAATCTGTAAAACTTATGAAGGTCAAAATTTACAGTAATCTATAGTAAGAATTTGGATTAGAGAATTGATACATTGGTACATACCATTCAGATTTAATTATCTGAAAAGGAACAACTTTTAAAAAAGGCTCTGAAATAGGAGGAAAGGATGATGGAACATCTGAAATTTTGGAGAATAATTCAAGCTTTACAGTACTGATTCAATAGGCTTCAGATATATGATATAGATGTATTTGGTATTGATTTAATTCTCTCCACTCAGAGTAGTCTTTCAATGGTATTGTTTGAGGCCTTGTGCCTCTAAATGTACTCGGATGCTTCCTTCTGTGCTTTAGGTTGGAAAATAGTGCTCTGTTTGTCTTGCTATAGGTGTTGCTCTCTCAGGCTCTACATCATCTATCATTGTTATGACAATTTTTGAAATGAAAAAATATAACCAAAACATTGACTTTTGGTCATACCATGAGAAGTCTCAAAAACCTGAACCAAATATTATCTGGTACACATATGGTTGGTCCACTTCTAAGGTCAGCAGGTTTCAGCAGAGTGGACATCATCTTGTCAGATAAATATCAGGTTTCTTTCAGAGGCACAATCTGCAGTGCTGGTATAAACTCTTAGTGGACAAAGGGGAAACTGAGGATCTTGCTTATAAAGATTCCCATGAGATTGTATCTTTGAAAGTCCTACCTATTTATTGAAATTTATTTTCAGGGTATGGGATAAGAAAGGCCAAACCTCAGTCTCCATTAATTAGGTTAAACAGTAGGGCAGTGAACAGCTTTCTTGAATTTTTGCTTTTGCTAAATAATTTTTATTTATGTAGTCATATGTTAGACAGTTTCACAGTCCTGATTTTACAACTTAATGCAAATTTAAGCTAGAAGGAAAACTAATTATAAATTACAAAAATGTGTATTTTTGTAATTAAAGGATGGTTTTTCATACATTTCTGAGAGCATATTTAAATAACTGCTGAGTGCATTATTCAGGTTGACAGAAAGAAATGCAAAATCTGATGTTAATACATTTTATAATGAAAGTCAACAGATCTACTTAAATTTATTTATGAGAGTAGTAATAGGTAGGTTGAAACACTGTGATGCTTTTCAAATCTGAATCTTGTCTGCAATGATGATTTCTTGGTTGAGCATTAACTTTTATTTGACTTTTATTGACTATCATGTTCCTGTGATGGACTGATATGAACCTAGTATAACTTACACAAAATTTGCTTTCATCAGCATGATTTTGTGTCCTTAAACAGTTACCTGTGATGTAAAGGGGAGAAGGCAGAGCCTGGAATCCCTTTCTGACAGCCTGACATGACATTGGTGGCCCTCAAGTTGTCAGGTTACAGTAATTTGGCCATTGGGAAAAATACAACTGAGGAAAGTTTTGATAAACAGCTAGAAGAAATCGGAGAGGCAATGGGAATGGAATGTTGATGGGTTTGATCATGTTTATGTTAGAGGAAAGAATCTAGAAGTTAGGCAGCAGGAGAATGGAAGCAGTACTAGGTAGTCCTGGATCAGATAGCTAGGAACTTGACTCCGGGTCTGAATAGAGCTCTTGGTTTGTAGACTTACTAAAAAATACTTCTTCTGTTAACCTTGACAAATTACAGTTTCCTTCTGTGTGATTTTTTAATTTTGCCTGTAACACCTTCTAGGGAACAGGCTCAGTCACTGAAGATGGGTGATGAGAAGAGGGTTTTATTGCTTGGATCTGGCTATGTTTCTGGCCCTGTGCTTGAATATCTCACTAGAGATTCCAACATTGACGTCACAGTTGGTATGTAAGAATTTGTTTTCATTTCAGTATTATGTCTCACTGAAGCATGTGTCAGAACTCTTCTCATAAATAATAAAAGGACGTGGTTCTGAGAAGAGACAAAGAAAATCTTTGTTATTACTCACAGCAGAAAAGGGTTTTGTAGCTTTGTGAGCATTTTGAATTTATGTAATTGATTTTAAAATGACATAGCCATGTTAAAAGTTAACTGTTTGCTTGTGTGAAATTAGATGTTTAGAAATGTTTGCATGTACAGAAACTAAAAGTATTTTTCCTTCTAACCTGCTTTAGGCTTGGGATTGGTTTTGTAGATAGTCACTTTATTGGTATGTGGCTGTGTTTTCAGCCTCACAAAACAAGAATATGAAAATTCTCCATCTGTATGAGTGAAGTATCTGATTTTCTTATAACGAGTGTCATGGTGGTAAAACTTCAGACCCTGACCTTCCCATGAGCACTAAATGCCTACTTGTTAATTCCTCTGTTTTCATTTTATCTGTTGCATATTTCAGGCTGGGTGTCCCACTAATCCCTTTCTGTAGCCTTAATGATGACTTCACCCTGATTCTGGGACTTCAGATCTAAAACTCAGGCTCTATTGCCTTCTTGCATGAAAGATACTTTGCTGGGAAGTGGTTTCCCTTAAAACTTACAGTTTTACTGCTGCTGATTGTTGTTGTTACTGCTTTGTTTTTTTCTTCCTTTATGCTGCTTTCATACTTGGCTGCTTTTGCTACCCTTCATGGTGATAACCATAGCACTTCTAACCCCTGGGACAAGATCTCCTAGGAAGAAGAGGGGAAATCTAGGAAAGCTGCACCCTTTTTACGAGCACTGCCTGAGGTGGAAGAGAGAAGGATTAGAGCAATGTGCAGTGTCCATCCCTTTGTCACTATAGAGGTTGCATCCACTCCCTGCAGTGCAGTAGCAGGAAGAGAAACCAGGTGAACTGGAAGATCTGTTTTGCCAGGCACTGAACAAACATAGCCTCTTATCTGGGTAGCTTAAAAACATGCAGTTTCTACAGCACACACACACAAAAAGCACAGAAGGAAAGAGACATAAATATATTACTTGTTTAATATTTGACAGCAGGCAAGGAGGTGCAGAAAACACAAAGTGCACATCACAGTGCCATGTTTGGTTTCCTACTGTTAGGCTACACCACTTTAAATCCAGATGACGAAAACTTTAATTGAGAAACCTTCAACTTTTTTTAGTTTGAATTTGTAGATGATTTTGCCTAGCTCTTTTCTCGCAGCACAATTTGATTTGTAGGATATAGAGAATCATCTTCTAGTAATGGTTGTTTCCCACTGACTCTGGAAAGGCCGTAAGGAAATAAGGCACAGATGCTTTTAATTCTCTGTAAGCTTGTGCCCTACCTGCTGCCTTCTTTGACTGTTCCTTTTTCCTGACTTTGTTCTCTGGCTTGTGCTGTTAGCGTAGTGAGCTGGGAAAGGAAATTAGTCAGATGTAGCAAATACTGGTTGTGTTACTGTGGTTCTCTGTTTCAGTTCTGCTTTCCTTATAATGGTAAGTGCTGATGCCTTTTTATCCCCCAGAAGCTTGTGTCCTATGTGCTGTCTTCTTTGGCCACTCCATTTTTGCTCTTTCTGGCTTGTGCTGGCAGCATGGTGAGCTGGGATGGGAATCAGTCAGAGGTGGCAAATACTGGTGGTGGTGTTGTGGATGTCTTTCAGTTCTGCTTTCTTTTAGAAAGTAGTTAAGAGTAGGCAGGCAGAGACTGGGTTTATCCCATTTAGTTATAATACGGTATTTGGGATTGGGAGGACTAAGCCATACATAAATATTAAAAGTAGTCAGTTTGAACTTTTTACTCACACTTTACTTAAGCTAAAGCTTAATGTTTCTATCTTTGTCATGTTAAAAATGGTGTTGTGAATTCGTTTTTGCTTTAAGCTATTAAGCTGTTCTTAACTGTAAATAGGAATTCTGTTAAAGTGCATTGAAAGATAGTTTTGAAATATTCCTATTTCAATGTGTGGAATGAGGGATCAAGTAAGTTTTTCTGAACACATTTGTTTACTTAATGCCTGATTGTTCTTCAACTGTTAGTGAAGGAAAACAAGCATGCATCTGTTTCTCTGTGGGAAATATGGCACAATTATACATGGGTGTGCTTTGAACTTAGCTTCATCTATAGGTAACAGTTTGTTTTATTTTTCAAACAGTATCTGTCATGAAGGAGCAACTTGAACAACTGACAACGAAGTACAGAAATGTTACTCCAGTTCATATGGATGTCCTTAAGCATGAGGAAAAGCTGTCCTCTTTGGTGAAAAAACACGACCTTGTGATCAGGTCAGATTTCTGCGTAAAGCATGATAGGCTGAACCCTAAGTCATGCTGCTTCTTTTAGTTGATTGACTGAAATCAACACATAAACTTTCATTTTTAATGGCCAAGATGTGGGGTCATATTTGTGTGTGTAAGTAGTTGTAACTGGCTGCTGCCTTCTCATGTAGTGGGGCATCAGATCTTTAAAAGGGGTTTTGACTTCTTCAGAAGTGTTTGCCAGTTAGGTGGACTCCCTTGTTAATGTGAAGGGCCATTAGCATCCACAAGCTTATGTGTTGCTGGGATCAAACTTTCATGTTCACAAGGGGAGGCAAAATTCTGAAAACTTGGTAATTTCTTCTGAATATCCCATTAATAAAGAACTCATTCCAGATATTGATACAGGGAAGGAACTTCATAGTCCTTGCCATTTGTTTCTTTTGCCACGGGTGTCATGAATGTTGCTTCTCAAAGTAGTTCACCAAGAACTTTATAATGCAAGCTTTCTCAAGGATGGTTTTTCAGTTTTGCATCTTCTAAACCTCCAGCATGCTTGTTTAGAAGATGTCTTTGGAAAGAGGTCAGTGGTTTGTGGTTTACAGAGAAGTGTGACAAAAGATGCTGTCTCAAGAATGACTCCCCTGTTGTTCAGTGCCCTGTTCTGAGTGCATACAACAATGCTGTCCTGATAGGGTAGTGTTTCCCTTTCATAGGTATGGAGCTGCTCAGGGCAAGGTAGGTATGACTGGTTTTTTGAGCTATTACTTGAGCTCTTTTGTAGGCATTCAAAAAACTTTTGAGTGTCTTTCCAGTGACACGATAAGTAACTGGTTGAATTTTGATGTTGCATGATTCTCCTTCATTTGTAGTTTGCTGCCTTATTCGGCACATCCTTTTGTTGCTAAGAAATGTATTGACAACAAAGTGAACTTGGTAACAGCCAGCTACTTAACACCAGCCATGAAAGAACTTCAGGAGAGGTAGGTGTGAAAGCAGCATCTCCCTGGTGTTGCTTCCTTTTTAGTGCATTATCTGAATATTTTGTAGTCTGTTACACCTGCAACACTGAGTGTGAATCACTGCTTTCTGAATTCTTTCTGCTTCTCTTTCTGTGATGGAGGACCAAGTAACCATCCCAAAGGTGCATGTTGCAGAGTGGAGCAAGGAGTGCATACCCCAACCTGGTTAGATTAATGCTCTAAATAATAGAATGTATTTTTCTGCCTGCATCATCCTATTTCATGTTAATGTGCTTTTTCCTCTTCCCTCAGACCTGTTAAGATGCTTGAGCTTGGCTGATATTCAAACTGAGTAGCTGTGCTGTCATATTCTACCAGCAAGCTTGTTTGTCATCCTCTGCCTTCCTCCAGTAAAAACTCATCTTGGCTTAGCGTATATGCTGTAATCTCCTCTTTCATGCTTTTCTTTTGGATATGCCCACTGTATAATTTTCAAATTGGTGACAACTCTAACTAATCTAATGTGTCTGTTGTCATACTTACTATATAGGCTAGAAAGTTTTTTGAGTATGCAGCTTCTTGTAGGTGCTCCTCTGAGTCACAGTACTGAAAATATGAAGCGTGTTCAGGTGAAGAATTGTATGTGCTGTGTCTTTACAAACGATAGAAAAAGCCAGACTGGTTGAGAATCAGTGTTGCAGAAAGTGAGGGGTATTTAGGGGCCTCTCCTACCATTCTAATTGAGAATACAGCATGCTGTCAGGGAAAAAAAAATAAAAGGGCACAAAAGACAAATTGATTTTGAAAATGAAAGAAATCCTCAGTTTGTAGTGATAAGTGAACTCCTGTGGGACTGTGGGCAACTATCAAGAAAAAAAAACAAAACCAAATACTTGTAATTGTGGAAAGCAGACCTTTTAATGTCACTTGTCAGAGCTCCTTAGGACAATCATGACTAGCTCTGTTCTGCCCTCTGCATTACTACCTTCCTGCCTTATAGCTCTGTCCAGGAGATGTGGGATATAGAGTAGCTGGTAGAAATTTATTTTTTCACCAGCACCTGGGTGCAGAGGAGTAAGAGAAACAAAAGTTAGAAGGCTCTTAGATGGTTGCTACTTCTCAGGATTTAATGTCTGCTTTTGTTTCTTTATTCCCACAAACTGCAGACAGAGCCCAGAATTTACTGTGTTAGAGAAGGTTCACTGGGCAGATTGGACAGATTTATGGAATAGGCCAGTAATTGTGAATATTCTGATGACTCTGTATTTCCGTTACTTTTAGTGTAGAAGCTGCTGGTATTACAGTTGTCAGTGAAATGGGCTTGGATCCTGGTCTTGATCACATGTTAGCGATGGAATGTATTGACAAGGCGAAAGAAGTTGGTGCTACGGTAAGGTTAGCGGGTAGTGCACAGTTCTGCCAAGATTGTATTAGTAAAGTTGTTCTTTTAAAACCAAAGAGGTTTTGAGCATGTCACAGATGTGTAACAGACTCTGGATATTTTACTTTTTCTGGTGTTTTGAATTTCATAGCTACGTATTTACTTGGGGAGACCATCAACTAAGATGGCCTTACCCCAGTGTATCATTTGGTTTCCTGTCTTTTACAGGCAGTCCCCTCCCCTCAGATCCTCCTGATCTGGCCCATTTGGCCAGAAACAGAACAGAAATCTTAAGAACTGATGGGGATTTTGCTGGGTAGATCTCTATGCATCCTGATCTATCTTTTCGCTGTTTCTTTTCCTGTGGGTAAATCTGACAGGTTATATCGTACACTTCTTTCTGCGGTGGCCTACCAGCTCCAGAGCACTCTGACAATCCTCTGAGATACAAGTTCAGCTGGAGTCCACAAGGAGTGTTGCTGAATACAGTTCAGTCTGCTACATATTTAAAAGATGGAGAGGTGAAGTAATGGGAAAATTTTCATTTGAAACCATACTGTGGTAATTGGCTAAGGAAGGAATTGAGACTTGAAAGGTGCTGTGTTTACTTTCAAGCCAGTGGCAGTCAGCTGCCTAAGCCATTTGCATAAATCACTTATCACTCGTAATTTTAAAATTAAAAAAAAATAATTGCATATCACTATGTTTGGAGCATGATGATACCTAGCTGCTGCCAGCTTTATTCTTTCTTACTATGTGGAAACTGACTGCCAGGAAGGAATTTGTTCTAAAGACTAAAGCATTGGATTTGAGTTGACTTTTCTGGGTTCAACTTCCATTCTGTTGGGTGTTGCTTTTGCTACTTATTTGCCCTTTCTTTGGCCCTGTGAAACAAAGGTAAGAATGCCTTATGTGTTCATAAATCAAACAGCTTCATTTTGTACTTGCACAATGCATAGTAGAGCACTTGATTCCTTTTTCTTTTGGTGCAATGTGTAATACCAATTTATCACTGAGTGGGTTTTGTGAAATGCTTTTTGGTCTGTTTTATAGAAGCTCTGTTTTGCTGTTTGTGCAGGAGTCATTAGACTTAACCTCACAAATGTCACTGCTTCTGTTATATGTAAACATTGTAATTGATTTGTGCAAAGCTATTGCAAGCCATTATCACATTTCTGCTTTCCAACACTATCTATTTCCACTGTCACTTGCTCAGAGTAGTTACTGCAATTGTCAAGGAGACTGCCTTGTATAACCACTATAAAGTTTAGCTAGTTGCCTAAAACTCTTTGATCTGCAAAACTTAGAAATCTTTTGAAATGCAATCTTTTATGTTTTATGACATTTTGGCGCTCTACTGTTCTTATGAAAGTAAGAAAGGAGAAATTCAGGGATTGTTGGATCATTATTTAAAAGCAGTGAAGTATAAGCTTCAGATGAAAAGGGTTCTTGGAAAATGTTAAAATATTTTTAATTTAATTCTGATCTGGTTCACCCATTGCTAGGAAAAATTAGATCATGCATATGAATGAATCATGAGAGCACTAAATGAGCTTGTCAGTAAATTCTGCAATTTTTATTCCTTGCCACTAAATACTTATCTTTGACCATTGGATTCTTTCTCACACCTTTCTTGCTTGGCAAACACAACAAGATCTTTAGGCATTGCAGCAAGCTTCACTGCTTTAGTATTTCTTCTAAAAGTAAACCTTGTCCCTTTGCTCAGAAATCAGAAAATGAGTTTGTATTGATGCTGCATAGCAAATCTGGGCTTTAGCTGCTTGATGGAAGCAGGGTTCAACGCTGTGGTTGGGAGTGGTAAGAGAACTAGTCACGGATTTTTTGTTTTCCTTCCATGATGCTTTGTAGCTTCAAGTAAAGATACAGATGGGCAGTAATTTTATATCCATGTGATGTCACTTGATTTATTTTAATCTTTAAAAAAAAGGAACAAACATCCATGATTCTGTTTATGCCTGCCTTGTCTCCCATATAAAAAGCACCAAACAAAACCTAAACAAGATAATAAATTATTTGACCAGAAAGCAGGGAGCACATGCTGAGAATCTCCCTTCACACTGGTGCAGTTAGGGACATGCTCCAAAATTACATTAATGTAAATGAAATGGGAATCTGCTGTTTTAATATAAATGCAGCAGGAATTAACTGTGTATGTGAGAAGAACATGGCTTGTTTTAGCCCTTTGTTTAGTAATGGCTGACACATTGCCTGCTCTTCCTGCACCAGATATGATTAAATGGCTTGGGCAACTGCTTTATTTAGATTGGGCCTTTGTTTGCACTTGGAACACCAAACATGTTTTTCCTGTTTTTGAGCATACTTTATCTTTTCTGTTCTAAAATAAGTTGAATGTGACTGCACCAAAATAATATTTGCTGTTCTTTCACAAACTTTAGATTATCAATATTCCACCTGGAGGAGCTTTACTGGATTCTGTTACTCCAATGGATTTTTTCCCAGGATTAAACCTTGAAGGTTTTCCTAACAGAGACAGTACAAAATATGCTGAGCCATACGGTATTCAGACAGCTCGCACTTTACTGAGAGGCACTTTAAGATACAAAGTAAGTTGTTGGTGTTGTTATCAGTAATTATTGTTTTCCTCAAGAGATGAATGTTGTAATTTCAAGAAAACTGTGTATTTAAAACTCAGCTTTTTATAGGCCTGTACTTGCTATTTATGAGCTCCCCATTATGCCAGCTGAGAGAAAACCGAAAGCAGTTACTTAATTTTTAATGTAGCTTTACCTGCTGCGTTTAACAGGTATTTGTTGCAAAATGGAAATATGGTTTTATTTATTTTAGACAGCTGGTCAGTTGTCTTGCATAGTATGTGTTTCCTCTTTTTATTCTGGCTCTGTATCTGGTGTCAGATCAATAAAACATTAAAAAAATAAATAAATTCTGTTTTCTTATATTCCCATGAAAAATAGAATGCATAAATCTTACAGAAAATTATGATTTTCCACCAATCTGAGAAAGTTTTTCATTAAGTACCTAGAAATCTTAAATTTGAGGAGTTTTTAAATTTTGGTCAGCTAAATAAAATATTAAGAGATAAATGTATTTTCCTTCTAACTGATTGAGTCTTTTCCTTTCATTTGTTAGATGTCCAAAGCAGAATCAAAACAAAATATTTTTTTCTTTCAGATTTTCTTTTTTTAAATTTTTTTCAGTCAATATACATTAAGAAGAAATAAACCTAAAACCATATTGAAAGTTTGAGAAAGCTTTTATGGATGTTGTATTATGTCTGTTAAGGTTTATGCCAAGGCTTAAGTTTGTTATTTGTCCATAGCCTGAGGAAGGTGTATGTCCTTTTTGTCTTAATTCCTCTGTTGCAATACAACAGGATTTTTTGAGGGAGGGAGGCTTGCTGAGAGAAGGAGATAAAGGTGTGGAAGAAGATGGAAGGCCAGTATGGGGGAAAAAGAGTTATAAATTGCAATAGCTCTCTTTTTTTTCAGTCTAGATACAAACTCTTTTTTCAGAAGGTGAAAGTATGTGGGAGGCATCTATCTTATTGTGAAACCCTAATTTGACAGTATCTATTCTTCTGTTTGGTGCCTGTTAAAACTTTCTTCTTTTGTATGTGCTAGCACAGGGAACTGCAAAAATGTCAGGGTGACATTCCAAGTGGTTGTCAGTGTGCTGCAAGAATGCTGTTTCTGTGGTTAGTGCTGTTTTCTTAATGCCCACAGCAGGGCCAGCACTTTGGGCTGGGGGGATGTTGGTGGGGCTGTGGGGAAAGGTTTGCCATACCTCCACCTGCATGGTACTGACGTGCCAGCACAGAGTGCTGAGCAGGACAGATAGTGTTGGCCCTTTGCACATGCTGCTGTGCTGCAGAGCAGAAAACAATCTGCTCACTGAAGAGGCAATCATCTCCTAGAAGTGCCTTTTAGAGATTAAGTTTAGAAAGCTAATGGAGTCAGTTTAAAAAGAGGTGTCACACAGAAGCATCTCACTGCAAGGCCATCTGAGCTGGTAACCTAGTGCTTGTGGAAGTGACTTCTAATTTAATTAGTCTTCTTTCAGGGTGCTTTATTTCCTCCATTCTGCTTTTTTAGTGTTTCTAGTAATTTGCATGTAAGTGCTCTCAGGTATCCAGCACTTGTGTGGGAATGTTAATGGGATAAAAACAAAAGTAAGTTGAGACTTCTTTCATTTTGCAGCCTAATGCAGCCTTTGCAGTTCCTTTTAAACCGTTCTACTTCTTTGTCTGTCTGACATTCCTGAAGATGAGAAATAAGCACACAGGATTCTTACCTTTAAAAGCAGCCTATGTGATGTCCACACAATCAAAGTGGTGTGAAACTAGGTGAACAGTGTTCTGTGTTGTGCTCTGTGTATTGATGACAGAATAAGCCATTAAAAAAAAATACATTATAAAGTGGGGAAAGGTGGAGGGGGCTGGGGAAGACACTGCCCTGTGGCAGTAACCTCACTGGCATCAGGTTATTGTGGCTGACTTCCCAAGAAACTAATTCTAAACTGCCACAGTTATGTCTATCACTACTTTCAAACCAAGGAGAAATACCTGTTTCAAGTGACTAATATATTTAATGGTGTTATTCTTTTATTTCAGGGGTACTCCAGAACTATGGGGGGCTTTGTAAAACTCGGATTAATTAATCCAGATCCTTATCCTTTGCTAAGCTCAACTAAGCCACCTCTAACCTGGGTGAGTTACTTTGCTTACTCTGCCTTTTATCCTCTGTTTTATTGATGTTTTTCCTATTGCTAGACTTGGGTGTACTTAGCAATGAGAATCTTGTACTGCATCCTGATCTTTGATTTTTTTTCCTGGAAATGAGGAAGACTTTCTTCAGCAGAAATGGAATAAGGTGCTGTAACAGGTTCCCTGATAGACTCCGATTGGAGGCTTTCAGGTCTCAGCTAGACAAAGCCATGGCCATATTTTTATGAATCGTCTTATGTTTTTTGTTAGTCACAGTCTAGTCCTCAGTGCTGAGTTTACAGTGTCCTTTTTGTTACTGGCTGATGATCTTCAGTGTAAAAGTATTTTTTAGGGTATCAAGGAAGAAGAGATTGTGCATAAAGGAGTATATTACCATTTTTTTTCTGTTGAAAATCTATACAAGCATTTTTTTTGTTCTTCTGTTATGCTGCTATTCTGTCTTGATTTTGGGTGCCTTACTTTATCTTTATCTCAGCCAAGACATGACTCTGATGTGATGCTGTTACATTTGACAGTCAACATTTTCATTGTTTCTGTGGACAAACAGGGTATTTCATATTTCAGTATGGGATGAAGAGAGCTGAAGAATGTCTTGAGTGTTCTCAGAACCGAGAAAGCAGAAGATGAAGAGGCCATAGTCTTGCTTGTCTCTGACTAACATTGTATTGGGAAGATGAGCAAACTCCAGGAGTTTTTGGGTGGCCATATTGGAATTACTTTTTTTTTTTTTTTTTTTTTTTTTTTTGGAGTTGATATTTTCAAGTTTTCTTTGTAAAAAGGGCTGGAATTTCCAGTTCTTCTAGCCTCAATGATTAAGTATACAGTGTTATGTAATCTGTAAAAATAGCTATAAACTCATTATTCTCACTGCAAATATTTTTTTAGTAATGTTTTTGCATCTTGATACTTTTCCTTTATCTACTCTGCCAGAGAAGTAGAAGAGATGAGCTAACCTGAGCTTGTAGACTCTGCAGTTCTTGCTTATTTCATATCTTGCTCTTTATTTTATATCTTGCTCATAGTTCTTTTTATCATCCAGTTTGCTGTGAATGAAGCAAGCAATGATAAGCATCTAGGTGGCACAAAATGGCCTTCAGATATGCACAAGTGTCATGGAAAATCTCTTTGGTAACACAGGATTGCCAGAGCCTTGTTCATCTTATTGGTCTGTTTTCTTCCTTTTGGAAGGGATGTTCTCCATTTCTAGACAAACTGAGAGATATCCTGTCTCTGAGTTTTCACTCTGTCAGTCTTCTCTTTCATCTTAATATTCTCCTAGTGTTCCTGGTTTATGCAGGTTTCTATGTTCTTTCTTTGCTGCCAGAGGAAGGGATAAGACTAAAATGTAGGGGGAAGTAGCTGAGGGGTGGGGTATAAAGACTTTTAGGAAAAGATAATCCCTATTTTCACCTGCTGTGATTAAAATTCTCAATCTTTCTCACTTTCCCACTACACATAAGTTGTCTTCTTGGAAGTCCTGGATTGTAACTGATCTTAGTGGAGTAGCTGGTTCTCAAAACCTTGATTGAGGTGGAGTGGGAACAGATGTCAGGCCTTCATGAACCTTTTTTGTTTTCAAACAGAAAGAGCTCATGTGCAAACTGGTTGGAATTAAGTCACCTGCTGAGCCCAGTGTTCTTAGAGAAGCTGTATTTAGCAAACTGGAGAAGGACAAAAGTCAGCTGGAAGCAGTGGAATGGTAAAATGTTCCAAAGATTTTGAGAGTTTAAGAATAAAAAAAGAAGTGTTTGCAATTCTAGCCATTTTGGTTCATGTTAAGACTGTTAAACTGGTATGCTGAGCAACTGGAAATTAAAAAACTGAGATGAAGCTGCTGATAGGCAATGATCTAAGACTTTCTCATTTCTTCTGCCAGGTTAGGTTTACTGGGAGATGAACTGGTTCCAGCAGCAGATTCCATTGTAGGGGCTCTTGCAAAGCACATGGAGACGAAGCTGCCCTTTGGTATGTGAGAAATTCTTCATGGGTTTGAGCAGAACAAGGCAATATCTTTTATAAGCCTTAATTAGATTAGTTTGTTCACCTTAGTTAATAAACCTTCATCATAGGTTTTTTACTGTATTGTGATGTTCCCTACTTCCCCAATTTATCCTTTCCCTGTTACACTTTTAGTTTGATTTTAGTATTCTTTCCTCCATAATAGTCCTCGCCTTCAGTCATTCCCTGATTTACCTGCTGTGTATGTGTAGTGCCTTGCTCTTCAGGAACCTCATCTCAATATGACTGAAATACAAGTAATGAATAGTTTGTGTGCTTTTCTTTTAGGCGCTGGAGAGAGAGATATGATTGTAATGAGAAGTGAAATAGGTCTCAGGCATCCTTCTGGCCATTTGGAAGACAAATTTATTGATCTGGTTGTCTATGGGGATAACAAAGGGTATTCTGCAATGGCTAAAACAGTAGGATACCCCGCAGCTATTGCTGCTAAAATGGTTCTAGATGGTAAGTGGCTATTCCAACTTCAGTAACAGTATTTCAATCCTCTGTATCTTCCTGCCTGTAGAAAGTAAATATATAGTGTTTTGTATGTTTATGTGTATTTTTTTTAATTTGTCAGACTCTTCCTGTCTTATTTACAGGAATTTTTAATCTGCATGTTTGGACGTTCAGATGTTCAGTGACAACTCTTAATTTACTGCTTAATCCACAAAGATTTTTAAGTCATTAAATATTAAGTGTTATATTTAATATTAAATGTAGTGTAGAGAAAACCTTTAGCATGATAAATTATAATTGATTGTGTCACAGGGCTGAATGACTGGGCGGTTCCTGGCACCTTGATCTGGCTGTGTCCAGCACAGCAACCCCCACCTTGCCCACAAAATCCCCACTGTGCAGCTACCAAAGCCTTTCCAAATAAACCCGGTAGAGCACAACTCACTAACACTAGTAGTTAGTTACTACTAACTAGTAACTACTAGTGTTAGTTACTAACTCAGGTGAAATAACTGCCAAAGGCATGGTCATACCTTTGACAAAGAATGTTTACGGGCCAATACTTGAGCGCGTTCGGGCAGAAGGCATTATGTACAGCACTCGCAGCGTTATCAAACAGTAACTGAAAACTGGATTTAATCAGGTTTTGGCCTCCTTTGGTTCCCCCACGTCCCCTTTTAGAATCTCACTTTGGACCAGCTAAGGGCATTTAAGACCTGCCATTTCATATACAAATGTTGCCTTCCATAAAACCCGCCACAAGGCTTGATGTAGAAACCATAGATACTCACAGATTGTGATGTTTTCCTCTTAAAATTCTTAAACTTCTATGTACATGTTTTGGCATCAATCAGAACTTATATCTTTTCTAAAATATCTCAGAAGGGTTTTTTATTGTTATTAGAGTTTATCTTCTAAGTCTATAGGGTTGTTATTGTGACAAATTTAAGCTGGAAGAAAAATCTTAGTGGATTATTTTGTGGTGGAAAAGTCTGGGTAATGAACTCCACTGATGAAGTTTGATTGTGCATGTGGTAAAAATAATTTTTCAGAAAAATGGAGATGAACATGATACTTAAATTTTAAGTCTGGCTGTCCCTTTCACTTTAGCAGTATTCATGAATGTTTTCACAATAACAGTATGCAAAAAATAGCTTAGAAATTCTGCACTACTAGCAAATAAGATCCTGTTAAATCTTGAAAATGTTCCGTTCTTAAATATTTGAAACCTAGATCTTAATATTTTTAAATCACTTTGTAATGAATGTAAATTTAAATTTGTTTGAGGAGGGAGGAAATTTAAAGCCAGCTTCCCCCCATACCCTTTCTTGTTACAGAGTGGAAGCTGGTTGCAATATATTGAAATACCTGCTGTTAAATGTTGCCTTGTGCTGTGGAGAGAGCACATTAACATTTGGCTCTGCAGCTAGGAAGGGCAGTCTGAAATACAACAAAGTTACTGTGCTTGGAAGACGCTCCAAATGACATGTTTACTCTTCCCACTTACACTGCATGCCTCATCCAGGTTAAGTACTGTTACAAAGGGAATTCATTGTGTAGTATATGCAGCTTTGGAATGCACTATGTTTAGAGGTTGAAATTGCCACTTTTTGAGTTAGCTTCTGTCCTTCTGCTTTCATGGTTTTGAAGCGTTCACTTGGGAACCTATACCTACTACTCAGAGCAGTGTCACTTTAGGCTGACAGTTTGCCAGCATACCAGCTCATTTGCTGCTGAGTGCTGTGCTGTCAGATGTGTCAGCCCTGCTCTAGCTGCAGTTTAGCCACATCAGTCCAGAACTAAACTTTAGCACAAGTTGCCTCCTTTCATTTCAGGGCTGCTTCTCTGGCTTCTGCTTAGGGATTTCTACACCACCTTGCAAGTCTAAACATGGCTTAGACTTCACCAGTCAGGTCTGTGAGGTATAATGCTGTGGGCAGGTTGTATTTGCACTGGTACCTGTGCACCTGCCTAGAGCTTGCCTTTTCTAAAGCTGCATATTGATGCAGGAAACTGCTTTCAGCTTTGTTCACAAATGCACTTTGCTGATAAACGCACAGCCTTTTCCTTCCTGAGAACCAGTGCTGTAATCACAGTTCCAAGAGGCTGGAATTCCAGGTGTTGTTTTGCATGGTAGGGAAAGCAGCCATAACAATAATTCAAGTTTTGATCTCCAGGTTTTGCGACTCAGGATTTGGATTTTCTTTGTGCAGATGCAATGAAATAGCAGCTGCTAGAGTTGGGTGAAAGGAGTGGAAGGGAGAAAGAAGGGCAGAGTGTTACTGTGAAAGAGAAGGACTTTTTATACTGAGTCAATGCTTTTTTAATGTAATGTCAAATTTGGATTCTGTTACAGATCCATGCATATATCACACAAAATCCTATCTCCACAAAGATGTTTTGCTTCCCACTGATGTTACAGGCTGTTGGTCTCTTGTGTCTGTTAGACACAGCTGGGGTAAGGATGGAGCCTGCAGTGAATATTCTGCTCTCTGCTGCTTCCTCCTCCAGGTAGATTAATGGCCTACAAATAAAGGTTAAAGTTATATTTGTATCTGCTGGTCCCTTCCAGTCCAGCTTGGTGAGACCAGGATTTTACTTGAGAATTCTCTGTTCCCTCCCTTAGCCCACAAATACACAGCCATGGAGTTGTTCCTCTGTATATATGCATATACCGTACTTGCTTTTCTGCCTTGGAAGTGCAGTATGGGATGAAAATCAGAATTTTTTACAAGTATCTAATATTTTTGGAGTACTAAAGAATGAGCACTGCAGTGTTTTCATCAAGAAACACTGCTAGTATTTTTGAGACATTTTATATTGGAATGTATTTCTAATTCCCAGTGCAATGCTGCATTTTGTTTTCTATGTTTAGACTTAAATGAATTTATTGCTTATCTTTTTGTATGAAGATTATACTTCTCAGTTCTCTTTGCATATTACTGGTAAGATAATTGTATCTTATACATGAGATTGCTTGAAAAATAAATCTGAAATCCTCTGTTTTGTTGTCATATTGTCTCTACAGTCTAATAATAAGCTGTAGCTGGGATTTTGTTTTTCATGTAGATGGTTGTATTGAAAGGATGTCTACACGTGGACTTTTCTCGGTGCATGAAATACCTCTGCATACTTCTTGCTAGACTCACAGGAGAAAACTCTTCAAGAATTGTTTAAACAAGCCCACCTATATATTTATATACATATATATATATAGGTATAGCAGTATCTAGATAATGTTCAGCTATAATCTCAAGAGATTTTTTTTCAGCATATTTTGTTCTTGGGCATAAGGACAACTACTGAAGTGTAGTAAGCTGCAGAACAGTAGATACATGATCTCTCCCTGTGCTCCAGGAAGGCATGGAACCTTGGTGTCTCCCAGCCTGACTCAGCTTGAGGACCTTGCTCAGCTGAATACATGGCTTCTGCTATCACTGCCTGTGCTGAAAGGCTCTTAAACTTTTTGTTCACTTCAGGCTTCGAGGAACAGATTGTTTCACTCTGTGTCTCTCATTTTTTCATTTTGGAATTTATACTATTGCCAGATCTTCATGACATGGAAAATCACAGTTTCTTTCTGAAATGAAGGTTCTTGAGCCCATTACACTCAGACTAGCTTCTTTGCCTCTGTATTTCACACTCTCTCAGCCCCAGATATTCCTACAGGTGAGAATTATATCCCTCGGAGGGGCTGGTGTACAAAAGTACAAAAAAAAAGTACAAAAGCCAGGAAAAGGTGTAAGCTCATAGCAAAATAGCTGTTAATGGGTGGAGAAAATGGGCTCTAGTGGTTGTGATTAAGCTGGAAAACTTAGAAGGTGATGGGGAGAAAAAAAAAATTAGCTGGGAGTGTCTAGCAGAATTTATCAAGGCAAATCACACCATCTCAAATATATTCCTACTAAAGTACTGTGTACAGGTTGTGACTATCTGGAAACAAAGAAATTAATTTCATAAGCCATAAGAATTCTATTCCATAAGAAGTTTTGGGGTTTTTTCCCCTCACTTCTTTTGGCTTTGAAAGGAAATAATGAATTTGAAATGGAGGGGAGTTGGACATGATGTGGCCAAATATTGTGAAAGACCCTTCTCTTTTTTCTTGTCCCTTTGAAACCCTAATCCACTAAAGCACAATCCTGTGAGAAGTGGATGGTCAGACACAGGCCTTGCTGCAGGGAAGTGGTGAAAACTAAGACTACAACCTATGACACCTCAGACCTAGGGTAGCAGTGGGGCCTTTGTTTCTGTTTTTTACCCCAACAAGACAATATTGTTCATCTCCTCCCCTGCTGTGCTTTGTTTATTCTTCAGAATGAGAGAGAAAGGATTTTAACTTTGCTAAATTCACCTTGAAGTAAGCATTTACCACAGAGAATTTCGACCTGTCTGAAATTACATTATCCTAGGACATAGCAAAGAACTATAAAGCCAGCTAAAGCACTGTGATAAAATATTGCTGACAAGTTTTCTCAACTGATTTTTGAAGTCCAATGATTTTTTGAAGTAATTAGTTGATTCGTTGTTGTACTGATAGTGATTAGTTTTTATGACTTGTGTTCACCACTTATTGCTGATTCTTGTAAAGCTTTTCCATAGGTATTAAATCTCCACATCACAAATACTAAAAAGTTGATGATAGTAAATTACTTTTCTTCTTTTTTCTTTTTAAACTCTCAACTCTTTAATGATTTCTTAGGAGGAAGATCACACTAATCAAGTTTTCCCTGTCACACATGACTTACAGCTTTGTAAAGAAAAAAGCTTAACCTGATGTTGTTTATTAATACCTTACTTTTTACCAGAGATACATAACATCTTCTCCACACTTGACCCAGTTTGAAAAGGCAGGCTATATGTCTTTTGAGTCTGTAGCTTGGATTATAAGAAAAAAATTAATTAGAATATGGCCTTTGTCTGAGAGAGGAACTGACACGCATTTATTAAAATCTGTAATCCATCACAGTTGAAGATTATAAAAGATTTTTTTTATGATTCTTATTTTTTTTCTAGATCAGAACCAATATGTGTTAGTAAAGAGATTATCTTAAGCACTTATGTTTTAAATAACTTGTCAGCATGCTAAGATGATGAATGTGATTACAAACATCTCTGGAAGAAACTTTGAATGACAGCTGATTTCTTGGATTACAATTTTAAAACGTCTGCAAAATATTTAGGTTGAAAGGAACGGTTATATCAAGATGGGATTTTAGAAAGGAGGATTCCTTTTTTGCTTTTGGTCCACAGATGCTTGAAAAAGCAAAATAGAATTAATTGGCCTAAAAATTACTTTGTGTATAAAACTATATGAAACTGTAAATACATTAGCAGAAGATTACTTCATGCTTGTTATTTGGTATGTGAGGCAACAACCCAGTTTTCCAGAAGAAAAGGCTGAAGAAGTAGCACATGAGATGTTAGCGCAGTGAAGTGCAGTAGTATCTGCTAAAAAGGCTATAAAATATGGTTTTCAATTGGCCATAAAATCACAATTAACCTTTCTGGTATGTACACCCCTAGAGATTAGGATATCAATTTTTTTTCTATAATTTTTGAATAAGACAGGGGAAGTACATAATATTGCTGTCCTTGTTATCCTAGATGTGCAAATGAAATTTATCAGCAAATCTGAGTGCTTTAGAGGAATTAGTAAGGAACCCTTAGGCCACTTGAAAAAGAAAACCATCCCTTTCTCTAAGCTCAACCATTATACACCTTTGTATGCACCATATTTGTGCCTGAACACTGAAAAATGTATATGTGTAATGCTTACAAAAGTGCATTGTCTGGGGCAATGCACCTGTTATGTCCATTTTTAACTCCTGTCAACCCCCAAACTCTTTAAATTAAAATGATTCTAGATCCTATTTGTCAATAGCAATTAACTCCACTAGGGATACATTGCATGTTTGCTTGCATTTAGGAGTCCTAATCTCAGTCCTGTTCTTCTTGAACTTCCAGAATTACCAAATATGCAACCATGGAAAGGACCACAGGATTAAAAAAAAAAATAA